TTTGGGAGGCTGAGGCAGGCAGATCACCTGAGGTCAGGAGTTCAAGACCAGCCTGGCCAACATGGTGAAACCCCATCTCTACTAAAAATACAAAATTAGCCAGGTGTGGTGGCACACGCCTGTAATCCCGGCTTCTCAACAGGCTGAGGCAGGAGAATCTCTTGACACCGGGCAGCAGAGGGTGCAGTGAGCTGAGACTGCGCCATTGTACTCCAGCCTGGGCAACAAGAGCAAAACTCCATCTCAAAAAAACCAGTGGGGGGACGGTGGGCTGGAGATGTTGGTTTCTTATTTGTTTTGGAACTCAGTGATGCCTTCTGATTTTAAATTTTAAAATGGCTGTTATAATACCTGGAAATAAGTTGTTTTTTTTGTTGTTGTTTGTTTTTTGAGACGGAGTCTCGCTCTGTCGCCCAGATTGGAGTGCAGTGGCACAATTTCGGCTCACCGCAATCTCCGTCTTGTGTGTTCAAGCTATTCTCCTGCCTCAGCCTCCCAAGTAGCTGGGATTACGGGCGCCTGCCACCACACCCGGCTAATTTTTTTTGCATTTTTAGTACAGATGAGGTTTCACCACATTACCCAGGCTGGTCTCAAACTCCTGACCTCAAGTGATCCACCCACCTCAGCCTCCCAAAGTGCTGGGATTGGATTACAAGCGTGAGCCACCACGCCCAGCCAGAAACAAGCTGTTTCTGTTTACAAGAATATATCTTAAAGCCATATGTGTGCCTCTTAATGATTTTCATAATTTTTTTAACTTTTGAGAAAAAAATTTTTTTTTTTTTAAGACGGAATCTCACTCTGTCGCCCAGGCTGAAGCGCAATGGTGTGATCTCCACTCACTGCAACCTCCACCTCCCTGGTTCAAGCGATTCTCCTGCCTCAGCCTCCTGACTAGCTGGGATTACAGGTGCATGCCACCACATCTGGCTAACTTCCGTACTTAGTAGAGATGGAGTTTCACCACGTTGGTCAGGCTGGTCTTGAACTCTTGACCTCATGATCTGCCTGCCTCTAGAGAAAGTTTTTACAATTGCAAATATCTTGCTTCGAAGAAACAGTTATCTCAAAATAGCTATTTTCAGTTTTTGCTTAGCTCCTTTTTCTTTTATGAATTTAAGTAAAATTAAATCAATACACTTTCATTTAAAGAAACTGACATGAAATGAAAAAAAAAGAAGCCACCTGACTTGTGGCTCCACGCAACAAACTGGCTAGCATGGACCCATCTCCTGTTATAACACAGAATTTGCTGAATAAAACATCACCTGAGGACAGGCGCCGTGGCTCACGCCTGTAATCCCAGGACTTTGGGAGCCGAGGTGGGCGGATCACGAGGTCAGGAGTTTGAGACCAGCCTGGCCAATATGGTGAAACTTTGTCTCTACTAAAAATACAAAAATTAGCCGGACGTGGTGGCGTATGCCTGTAGTCCCAGCAACTCCGGAGGCTGAGGCAGAAGAATCACTTGAACCCGGGAGGTTGGGGGTGCAGTGAGCCGAGATTATGCCACTGCACTCCAGCCTGGGCGACAGAGCAAGACTTCGTCTCAAAGAAATAAATAAATAAATAAATAATAACTAAAAATCACCTGAAATTGTCTCAACAGCAGATGTTGTGTATCATCAGAAGCCACAGCAGCCCTGGGGTGTCCAGGGGTGTCCCATCCGGCACTAGAAGCCCCCAGCTCTTACACCCACACTGGTAAGGGGATATTCCAGCCTCAAACTCCCAGCCAGAGTCACTGTGTGTTGCTTACAGCCTGAAGAAATTAACACCAAGCTTCACCCTTAGGAAACAGGAAAAGCAGAGCCAGAGGGCAGCCGAGTGGGCCACGGACTAGAGCTCCACCAACATCTGGACCTCCTTGCCCCGCCCCACACCAAGGGGCCTACCGTGCGCCACGCGCTAGGCAGGGAGCGCTTGTTTTCCTAGTGCTCCCCACGATGCCGCACAGGTTCAGGGAGGTAACAAGCGTCAGGTCAGAGAACTGGAGCCAGCTGTCAACTGCCCCCGCCCCACGCAGGCCATTTGGCTTCTGCTACCAGCATGCTGCTCAGCGCTCTGCCCAAGAATAACGATGAGCCCCGTGTCCTCTCCTGGGTCATCTTCCATGACCCTGAGGCAGCGCCAACAAGCTAGGCAGCTCCCTGAGCTGTTTCACACCAACTACCCGAGTCTGAGGCCCGCATCCAGGCGCTGCTCAGACCCTGAGGGTCGCTGGACCATGACGTAGCCTATGTGTAAAGGGGACAAGACAGCCTTGACATAAGCACAGAGAATGCCACTGGGATTCTTTTTTTTTTTTTTTGAGGCGGAGTCTCACTCTGTTGCCCAGGCTGGAGCGCAGTGGCCGGATCTTAGCTCGATTTTGGCTCACTGCAACCTCCGCCTACTGGGTTCAAGCCATTCTCCCGCCTCAGCCTCCCCAGTAGCTGGGACTACAGGCGCCCGCCACCTCGCCCGGCTAGTTTTTTGTATTTTTTAGTAGAGACGGGGTTTCACTGTGTCAGGCAGGATGGTCTCGATCTCCTGACCTCGCGATGCCCCGTCTCGGCCTCCCAAAGTGCTGGGAATACAGGCGTGAGCCACCGCGCCCGGCTGCCACTGGGATTCTTAAAGACTTGAAAGGGAAAGAGTACCTTCGAGAAAAAGCAGGATTGCCAAACCACCTCTTCCCATCTGGGAATCTCCTCCAGGACCAAGTCTTGTACTTAATTCTAATTCTACTTATCACGTTTCCCTCCCCACCCCTATCCCCAACAGCATGGAAGATGCTGGCGCTGCATCCCCTCCAGCACTGGGAAGCCTCAAGGCCCCAGGGCGCGGAGGCAGGGTTCAGGCACAGCCGCGGGAACGCCCACACCCAGTCCCGTCACACCGTAAGACATCTCTGCGGCATCAACCTCACGCAGGCCTGGCGGGCCTGAACACGGCGACGGGAAACTCAAGCCCGCGGCTCTACGGCTCGGGCAAGAGGAGGGAACCAGGGGGACCCACACGGCGCTCCTCAGGGAGAAGACCCCAGGCTCGGGTCCGAGGTGGGCTGGCTGGAAAGACGCTGCAGCCTCGCGGGGGCGGCCGCGGCTGCGTCCGGGACACGGGCTAGCCAAGGCCCCGCTCCTGGACGCCCTGCGGGGCGGGCCGCGGCCTGCGGACCCCGCCCGGCCCTCCCGGCGGACTCTGTCCCGGCAAGGCCGCCGGGCTCCGGAGCCAGCCGGGGCTGCAGCTAAGGCGTTGCCCGCCCCCGCCCGGAACGCGCCACTCACCCGGCGCAGGCGGGGAGAGGACGGCGCCAGCCCGACCCCGCAGCCGTTGACTGGACCCCGCGGGCGCGGGCTCCGCAAACCCGCCGACAAAGCCCGCACCTCACCCAGCCCGCCGCGACCGGAAGTCGCGAGAGGCCCCGCCTGGGAAACTTCCGGTGGCGCTCTAGGAGCGCTACGGATCGGCTCCCCTCTCGGTGGTGCGATCTTCCGGGCGCGAGAACTAAGATCCCGGGAGGGTCGCGGGGCGTGCGGCGGGCGTGGCATCGTTACGCGGTTGAGAGGATTGCGGGCCGGGAAGCGCGGGCTCGGAAACTCGGGTCTGGAACTCGCGGCGAGGCCCGGCCGCAGCCCAAGACCAGCCTCTCAGGAGGCGAGGACCCAGGGGAAGTAAATACCGTGAGGGCCAAACTTTACCTCCTTCTGCGCCCCAGAGAGGTGGGGAAGCGGCGTGCTGTGCGGTTTTTTGGTTTTCGGGTTTTTTGGTTTTTTTAAGACAGGGTCTCTCTCTGTCGCCCAGGCTGCTGTGCAGTGGCGCGATCTCGGCTCACTGCAGCCTCGACCTCCCGGGCTCAGGTGGTCCTCCCGTCTCGGCTTCCGAAAGTGCTGGGACCACAGGCGCGCGCCACCGCGCCGGCTCCTTGATTCTTGGTAGACATTACTCATTGCTGGAATGAGTCACAGTCCGAACTAATTACATTCCCCTGCCCCCCCCCAAAAAAAATTATATTCGTATTTTTGGTTTTCTTTTTCCATTTTTCTGCTAGCACTGAGGAAACTTGTTTACCTAAATTGTTAGATGGGATTGGGAGGAATTTTGTTTTAGCAATGACACTCAGTTTTGTTTTGTTTTTTTTCCAGATGGAGTCTCGCCTGTCGCCAGGCTGTAGTGCTGGAATGCAGTGGCGATGTCGGCTCACTGCAACCTACGGCTCCCTGATTCAAGCGATTCTCCTGCCTCAGCCTCTGGAGTAGCTGGGATTACAGGCACACGCCACCACGCACAGCTAATTTTTGTATTTTTAGTAGAGACAGTTTCACCATGTTGGCCAGGATGATCTTGATCTCCTGATCTCGTGATCCGCCCGCCTTGGCCTCCCAAAGTGCTGGGATTACAGGTGTGAGCCACTGTGCCCAGCCGACTCTCAATTTCTTTAGCTCCTTCTGACTTACATTCAAAAAACATAACAGCAGTTTATCACCAAGTGTACGTAATGACCTGTCAGTTGACCACTTGAATAGGTCCTTTTTACATTTTGACAGAAGCAAACAAAGAATGAGAAGTAACCTACAGTGCAAAACTACATTAAGTCTTTCCCAGCCAATAAATTCACCTACTTTCTTAAAATCAACTGCAGAGTTTTGAATTATCCCTTTGATGAGGAGGACAGCCCAGGTACCAGGGCCAGGTACCAGGGTGAACAAAGGAAGAGAAGCAACGTGGGAGAAGGAGCTGTGGCCAAGGGGACACGCTAGGCGCGTGCCCTCATCCAAAGACTGTCTACAGGAATTCCAGGACAGAGTCCATGTGGAAGTCCTGCTGTGATTCTCCAGGGGCTCCCGACTCTTGGAAAAGCTTCTGCGTTCCAGGGCTGTGTGTGAAAGCCCTGTATTGAGCAACCCCACCTTTCATCCAGGCCCGGAGACCTCAGCTGCTGCAACCCTATTGCCAGCTTACCATGGGACCCAGCTCTTAAGGCAAGAAGGGCTTGGGGCCTCTTCCCCACAGGGCTTACAGACCTTTCAGCCTCTCTGTCTGCAGGCCCAAAGAGCTTGAGAACACCACCTGAGTAGGTTGTCACAGATCAACATCTGCCTTGTACACCTGACAAATGCCACTTCAACCCCACCAACAGCTAACACATGGCTGCATCTTGGCACTTAATACTTTGAGTTTACTTGTTTGGTACTGATTGTCCCTCCCAGTAGAAAGGAAGCTCCGTGAGGTCAGGGACCCCCGTCTCGTTCCACGTCTAGCCCAGTGCTTGGCCCCTGTGAACGTCAGCAACTGTGGTGGATGCTGTGATGAGAGGCCCAGGGAGCCCCCTCCAGTGACAGGCTGGGTGTCCTAGTTGTTCAGGGTGTGGTAAGCGGTCTTCAGCCATCAGCTGCAACTCGCCAGGGTCACACTCTTCCCTGGTACAGCTCACGTTGCAAAGTCCTGGCCATCTTTGTCCAACCGAGGACAGCCCTGAGAGCCACTTCTGTTGCAGAGCTCCCTGCAGGGAATCAGTATCTGCTGTGCTTGATGGCATCACAGCCCAACTCCTGCCTCTTGTGTCTTCCTCTCCACAGGCCCAATACCACTCCGCGATAAGTCTGCTCCCTGCTTAGGAACCCCATTGAGCCACAACAGGTTTGTCAGGTGACTTCTAATTTTATCTCCATTTTATAGATGAGGAAACTGAGAAATAGGGAAGCCAAATGATTCACCTAACGCATCAGCCAGGACATGCTGGAGGAGTCCACAGGTGTGGCCATCTGCTGCCAAAGCCCTTGACCTACAGCAAATACAAAGCCAAAACCAGGGGGTGCGGCTGGAAGGCAAAAGGCCCGAGGGGAGGCTGCCATGCAAGATGAGGCTGATGCTGTTGCCATAACCAGAGCTCAAGAAAGGAAAGCTGTCCAAAGAAACTGCATTTAGCCAAAAAGGGAATTTGTAGGGATTTGAGGGCACGGAGCCATTCTGAAGACAAAGCAGAAATTCTGATAAAAGATCCTAAAACAGTTTCAAGCTATCTGGGATGTGGAGTTTGGAAACAGGCCATGGGTGGTCTTGGTGTGAGAGCAAGCACAAAACTGTCTGGGAAAGTCCCTGAGGAAGGCCACTGTGCCTTCAGGCCATGAGCAGAGCTTTCCTGCTTTGGGCGAATGGAGTCTGGGGATAAGTTGATATGAATGGAGGACTGAAGACAACTTGGGAATTACAGTCTTTCCGAGATAACTGGGTGGGGCAGATTGGTCCCGGTCCAAGCCACACAGGAAGCCCACGTGGGCTTCTGAGCAGGAGTGTGACAAAAGCCAAATGATGCTGGAAAGTGATGCTGGCTGCGAAGTGACCACAGAGGAGAGGATGAGGACGGTGGCAATCGCGCCCCACAGAAGAGCAGCTGGGGTGAGACTGGACTGAGCCAGGAAGGAGAGGCAGGGACCGGCTCTGAAGGCCGAAGGAGGATCCACAGTAGGGTGGGGAGTGTACAGGAAACTGACATTCATGGTGACGCAGGGTGGGGCAGGTGGGAGAAAGGTAAAAGAAGAACAGAAGGCGACTTTGGGGCATAAGTTTGAGACCTTGTTGCTAAGTGAGGCCAAACAATTAAAAGATTTTTTAAATCTTCTGGTAGCTGGAGAGGAACCTGAGACAAGAGCAGATGGGAGTTGTGGCAGTAGTGGCTATCTTGAGGGACAGACCCCAGGAGGAAATGAGAGATGCGTGCAAGGAGGAGCATCGCTGAGCCCACGCTGGACTCAGGATGGATGAGACAGAGGTGGACTCAGGTGCCTGCAGGTGGAGAGAGAAGGTGGGGGTGGCCTGGAGGCAGGTCTCTTCTGACTATTGCAAAGCACATCCAAAAGTAAACGATGCCGGGTGCGGTGGCTCTTGCCTGTAATCCCAGCACTTTGGGAGGCTGAAGCAGGCAGATCAGCTGGACCAATGTGGTGAAACCTCGTCTCTACTAAAAATACAAAAATTAGCTAGGTGTGGTGACATGTACCTGTAATCCCAGCTACTTGGGAGGCTGAGGCAGGAGAATTGCTTGAACCTGGGAGGCGGAGGTTGCAGTGATCCAAGATCATTCCATTGCACTCCAGCCTGGGTAACAAGAGTAGAACTCTGTCTCTAAAAAAGAAGATGAGGTAGGAGGTGGAGCTCAACTCCGGAGGCGGGGCTTGGACACGGGACCAAACTGAGGACTAGCTAAAACAGGTCCAGGGCAGAAGAGCCTCCCATGAGGCACACCAACCAGTGTGCCATGTCAGTTTACCATTGCTGTAACAGCACCGGAAGCTCCTGCCTCTTTCCATGGCAACAACCAGACAATGCAGAACTTACCACGCTAATTGTAGAAATTTCTTTCTTTTTTTTTTTTGAGATGGAGTCTCGCTCTTGCCCAGGCTGGAGTGCAGTGGCGTGATAATCTGCTCAGTGCAAGTTCTGCTTCCCGGGTTCACGCCATTCTCCTGCCTCAGCCTCGTGAGTAGCTGGGACTAAGGAAGGAGACTACTACTACTCCTGCTGCCCTCCTCCCCGCACCTTGCCTAGTTCACAAGACAGGAGTAAAGAGAAAAACAAAAGTAAGACAAATAGCCAGACAACCTTGGCACCACCACCCGGCCCTAGGAGTTAAACAAAGTAATAATAATAACATCAACCCCTGGCCTAAACTACTTGTGTTATCTGTAAATTCCAGGCACTGTATGAAAAAAGCATTGGAAAACTTTTTGTTCTGTTAGCTGATGCATGTAGCCCCCAGTCACGTTTCCCACGCTTGCTCGATTTATCACGACCCTTTCACGTGGACCCCTTAAAGTTGTAAGCCTTTAAAAAGGCCAGGTAGTTCTTTCTCAGAGAGCTCGGCTCTTAAGACGCGAGTCTGCGGACGCTCCCGGCCGAATAAAAACCCTCTTCGTTCTTTAGTCCGGTGTCTGAGGAGTTTTGTCTGCGGCTCGTCCTGCTACAGGACTACAGGCGCCCGCCACCACGCCTGGCTAATTTTTTGTTTTTTTGGCAGAGACGGGGTTTCGCTATCTTGGTCAGGCTGTTCTCGAATTCCTGACCTAAGGAAATCTGCCCGCCTCGACCTCCCAAAGTGGTGGGATTACAGGTGTGAGCCTTTTTTTTTTTTTTTT